GGCAGACGCCTAACGACTGAGGCACCCAGGCGCCCCCATACTTCTTCATTTTTAATTGAATGAGACAGATCTCTATCATAATCCCATTTCTTTTTATAACATTTATCTTAATGTAATCTTACATAATTTTAAAAAAAGATTTTATTTATTTATTCGAGAGAGGGAGCAGGAGCAGGGTGAGGGGCAGAGGGAGAAGCAAGAGCCTGATGACATAGGGCTTGATCCTGGGACTCCAGATCATGACCTGAGCCTAAGGCAGGCACTTCACTGACTGACCACCCAGGCGCCCCTATACTTTTACACAATTTAAGTTACCTTTGAGGGTTTATGCTTGCTGTTTCTCTGATCTAGTAGGATGTCTTTAGTGCCTGGATTAGTGCCTTACACATAGTGGGTTGATTCAGTGCTTGCTGGATAAATAAATTAATGAGAGAAAAGTTTTTCCTAACCATAATTAGACACTTTATTTCCTTTTTAAACTAGATTTATGGTGTGGTATTTTTTACTTCTACTACATGTGAGTTATGTATTATTTATTTTGGAAGAAGAAACCTTAATTTGTCATGAAAAAACAGCACACTGCTTTTTTCCCTAATATTAAGGCTTACACTGTGCTAGGCAGTGTCCTAATAATCTTTCATGTCTTGACTCAATGAAGTAGATGTACTGTTTGTTACTATTTTTGCAGATGGAGAAATTGAGGCACAGAGATGTTAAGGTAAATTTACTCAAGAAATCCATGCACTTTGGCTCTGTTTCAAACATTTATCATTTAGGTAACATTTAGAGGTTCTAATTTGTACTTTGCTCTGGTGAGAGGATACAAAGGGAATACTAAAAATTAAGTTTGTTAATATGGCTCATTAATGTGGCTAAGTAGTATTTTATTGGTCACCACTTGCTATTGTGTGCTGAAATAGTAACACTGTTAATTTTTTTTTTTTTTTGACAGAGAGAGAGAGTTAGCGAGAGCAGGAACACAAGCTGGGGGGGGGGGGGGAGAGGGAGAAGCAGGCTTCCCGCGGAGCAGGGAGCCCGATGCTGGGCTGGAGCCCGATGCTGGGCTCGATCCCAGAATCCTGGGATTGTGACCTGAGCCGAAGGCAGACGCTTAATGACTGAGCCACACAGGCGACCCTGTTAAATTTTTTTTTTAATTTGGGTAAATATCAGTGTCACTCAGTAGCACAGCCATTAGGAAATAGAATACCATATTGAATACTGAATATTGTAATGAAGCAGATGTATGGAGACAAGCCACTTTAACCATAACAACCATATTTTGGAATGAAGAAATGGGGAGAAGGGAAAAAGGACATTTACTAACTGAATCTGGTAGACCAACCCAGTGATGTCTGCTTATATTTCATTGACCAGAATTATGTCATATGGTCAGCACATCTGAAAGGGAGACTGAGAATGTAGTACCTTTTTTTTTTTTTTTTTAATTGGGCACATTGCCACCTTCAACTTCTAAGGAAGAAGAGGAAAAGATATTGGGTAGGCACTAGGTTTCTAAAATTTAACAGGGACTTTGATGAAAAACACTTTGTTGTTTCTGATATAACTACATTTCAGTAGGTCAGAAGGTAATCTTAGAAATATTTAAAACTGAATTTTTTTTTTTTTTAAGATTTTATTTATTTATTTGAGACAGAGAGAATGAGAGAGAGAGAGAGCACATGAGAGGGGGGAGGGTCAGAGGGAGAAGCAGGCTCCCTGCCCAGCAGAGAGCCCGATGCGGGACTTGATCCAGGGACTCCAGGATCATGACCTGAGCCGAAGGCAGTCGCTTAACCAACTGAGCCACCCAGGCGCCCCTAAAATTGAATTTTTTTGGTTAGGAGTGTTTGGTGTTTATGTATGAACTGTAGAGCATTTGGCACATTAACTTGGATCTGATGATTTTCATTTAGACAGATTGTATGTAATTTACTGCTAGCATAACCTTGAAAAACTCAGTATACCTTTTCTTCAGATGAGGACACTGAAATTCAAAATGGTTAAGTCACTTGTAGAAGGTCACACAGCTGATAAGTGTCAGAGCTGAGACTTAGCCTAAATTTAAAAAGTCCATGCTCTTTTCACTCTAACACTGTTGCTTTATTTATTAGATGCTGGCTTCAATCAGGACACTTAGAACCAACTGTTATTTTAATTTTTCCTATTTAAATAATCAATTCTTGTTCCTCTCTTGTATCTTTGAGTTCCCACTGATCTTTTTTAAGCTTTTAAGTTGATTGCTTCATGAATGAAGAGAAATACAAATTTACTTCTAAGTACTACTTCAGCTACACTTGCAAGTTTTATTATTTTCTTTTTTTTTAAAGTTTATTATTTATTTTTGAGAAATCTCTACACCCAGTGTTGGACTTGAAATCACAGCCTCCGAGATCAAGTGTTGTGCATTGTCTTCGGACTAAGCTAGCCAGTTTTATTATTTTCACTGTCATTCAGTTCTGAATATTCTATTATTCTTTATTGCTATTTTCATTGTCGTTCAGTCCTAGATATTTCAAATTTTTTTTAACTCATGCATTGTTTGAGCAATAGTATAGTTTTATTTTTTAAATATATGATTTTTAACTGTTTATTTAAGATGGATGATTCCTAATTGAATTGCGTTTTGGTCAGAGACCAGAATCTGTATAATATTGCCTCTTTGAAATACGTTACTACTTTGTTGTGGACAAATTTTGTAAATATGTGCTTAACGAGTTGTTTTCTATCAGGTACAGAGTTCTGTGTAGATCTATTAGATCAGCTTGGCTAAAATATTAATCTTCAAAAGGAAATTCCTATTTTAGCCTTACATTCTTAGTTTTAAAATGTGAGGTAGTTTAGTGAATGGGATGTCAGGAACTTGTGCTTTATTATTTATCTGATATTTTTAATACTGAAGAGAAAAATAACAAATAGCTGATGAATGTGAAACAGTTCTAGCATGTTCTAGCATAGGAACTTGATTTTCATATTAGATCATGACAGACACTGTGAACAAATCTATAGCTACCGTGGGACAATGAAAATCATAGTGGTAGTCCAGGTCTTACTTGGGTTTTTTTAATTTATGTTTTCTTTATCATTGAAATATTGTAAATTCAGTGGTTTTGTTTTTTTTTTTAAGGATTTTATTTTTGAGAGAGCACACGCACACGTGCCCACATGAGCAGGGGGTGGGGCAGAAGGAGAGGGACAAGCAGACTCCCCGCTGAGTGGGGAGCCCAACTCAGGGCTCCATCATAGGACCCTGAGATCATGACCTGAGCCAGAGTCCGATGTTTAATTGACTGAGCCACCCAGGCACCCTGGAAAATTGTAAATTCAGTGTTTTACTGAAAAGTAAAAGCACCTTTTTTTCACCCACAGAGTTCTACTTGTAGATTCAAATTCTAGTGTATGAGGCAGACGGTTGGGAGCCTCCATTTCTTGAAGTCCCATTGTTTATGGTCTTTCCAAAATTAAGTTTTATTTTTTCCTTCCCCTTAAGTGTCTTATTAAAGCTTCAATTTTGAAATAATGTAAAATAAGAGGAAAGTTTCAAAAAACAGGGCAAAGAACTCCTGAATACCCTTTACCCAGATTATCCAGTTGTCAGCATTTTGCCACACTTGCTTTATCCTTCCCACTTTCTCTCTGTATACAGATTGTGTATTTTTTTCATCATTTGAAAGTAAGTTGCTATTATTATACCTCTCCGCTTCTAAATATTTTGGTGTGTTTTTTCTAAAAACAAGAACACTCACTTAAAAAAACCCACAATCTTCTGATCAACACAGGAAATGGAACACTCAAAACAATGCTGTTATCCAGTCTGTGGGCCGTATTTCAGTTTTTCCAGTTGCCATAATAATGGCCTTCACAGTAATTATTTTTTCTGGTCCAAAGTCCAGTCAAGGATCATGTTGAATTTAATTTTTATGTGACTTTAGTCTTTTTAAACCTAGAATGTTTGTCAGTTCCTTTTTTCTTTCATTACACAACAATTTCTGAAAAGTTCAGTCCATTATTTTATAGAATGCCCCTCAATTTAAATTTCTCTGGTATTTCCTCATGATTAGATTTAGATTATGCTTTGGGTGGAAATATCTCAGAAGTGGTATTCTATCCATCTCAATGCACTTGTGGAGATGCATGATGTTGGTTTGTGTCATTGTTAGTGGTCATTTGGTAGGTTTGATGACTTTGGCTAAGTGGTGGGTGCCAGGTTTCTTCACTGTAAAATTGGAATTAATCGGTGTTTTGTGGGGTGATATTTCAAGACTATGTAAATATCCTGTTTCTTACCAACTTTCACCCACTGAAGTTTTATTATCTATTGGTAATCCTTGTCTGATTAATCAGTTATTATTATGATGTTTACAAATTGATTTTCTCATTTCTTCATTCATTTATATTTACTATTTGGTATCGTATTGCAAAGGAGCTTTCCCTTCTTCCTCATTATTTGTTTCTATCAGTATGAAGTCCTGAATTGTTATTTTATTCAAAGAGTTTATAGTCTATTATAATCTGTTATTATCAGTGTATACTTTGGTGCCCAGTTGTTCCAAATTGTCCAGTTGTAGGCTCTTTAAGCTGACTCCTGTATTCTTTTAATATGTCTCCCATCATTTTTTGAGCTCTTCCTTATTGTAGGTACAATAAAATGTTCTAGTCTTATCTTCCACATCTCTTACCCCAACCCTGGAATTGGCTACTTCTCCAAGAAGCCCTGGTGTTTCTTTCACTGTGTTATCTAAAGCAACATAGTGATATTTCAGAGCCCAGGTTTTATCACTTGTTAGCTGAATTGATTTGGTCAAATTATTTAACCTCTGTAAGCCCCAACTTTTAATTGGAAAATGAGGATTAAAATGGTACATATCTCACAGTGTTTTTGTGACAATTAATTTAAATAATCCACTTAAAGAACAATGCATGTCACATGTAAATATGACATAAACATTGCCTATTATTATTATTACATTACTATTCCCTCTTTTTTCCCCCTTTAACAGGATGTTCTTTTAAAGAATTATTGAAGACGAAGTTCTTTTTTATTTTTGTTTTTTGTTTGTTTTTTAATGGCTTTACAGAATTTTAAATTGAATACAATTTGACATGACGGCAAAAAATGTAAGTATTTGTAAATTTTTAAATGTAAGTATTTTTAAAGTGAGTTGTACTTTTTCCTTTGCACATTTTCTTCACTATTCTTATTAATCAAGTTCAATTTACTGGCATTAGTTTATCATTGTTTTTGTTTATGCAAAGAATGAGATAGTGAACTTTAATGCTATTGAATATAGCACTTGAATGGGCATGGTAGCATTCTTGTAAATTGCTGCCAAGTTGTGCCTTCTCAACAGCTGCAAAATTGCTATCTCTAGAAAGTTTCCCAACCCTCTCCTTTTTTGGTACTGTAATAAATTTTTGTTTTGGTACTTGCTGGAGATTTACTAGCCTTATCGAGAAAAATCACTCTTTTCTTTGGCCCAATTTTTTTCTTGTGGACTTACTCAAGGAAATATGCATACTGAGATGTTGTTCAGAAGAAGCTTACTGTCCTCCATGAGATGATCCCTGAGGGGACATTAGGTTTTCGATGTTTTGGAGGAGTTACTCAGTTTCTTTCCTCTGCTCAAGGCTTTTATTTCTGAATCTACTTCAAGTTATTTTTTTATTGTCTGACTGTATCAACAGATTTGTTTTCAGTTATATGAAGGATTATGCCAGAAAATAAATATTGCGACATATAGGGAAATAACTTCTAATTGCTTTACCGTTCCCAGATTATGATTTTGGAATCTTTGATTGCACATAACAGAAATCTGCTTAGGCTACCTTAAAAAGGCAATTTATTATAAAGATACAGGAATGTGTCAAAGACTTTAAGAGTAAGAATTTAGTGGGCCCTTAGAAAGATCTGGGTGCAAGAATTTGAAATATACCAGGAATTGAAGCAGTGTTTAGTTTCCATATATTATCTCTGCTTGTCTGTGTGCATCTGCTTCATACTCTGTCTCTCTCTGCAAATCATGCTCCTTAGTTCTCCAGGGAGCCTCTCAATATACGTGTTACAGAACTGGCCTGTTCAGAGAAAGAGAGGTGCGAAGCAAAGGAGGAAGGCAGCTTGACAGATCTTGTCTGCCCGCGTGAGCTCCAGTTTCAGACTCCTTGGGGTGGACCTTGGTGCTGCTCAAGTGTGATATCTACTAGTGGTTTACTTAATTGTGACCAGGAGAAGCAAGCGTTACATTGTGTGAAAAGGTCCCCTTGTCAGCCAGACAGATAGTTCCAAATACTGTACATTATACATCTAAAGAATAACATTTTAAAAAAAACCCTTCATGATTTACCTCTATTTTCCTATTATTACCCTTGCTTTTGACATGCTATAAGCAGCTATAAGCAGATATAGATTTTGCTTCATTATCATGTAACTAATTTTATTAGGATAAATTATCAGGAATACTCTGCTTTAATCTAAGATTGTTATATATATATTTGTTAAAGTGCTGTTTGGGGAAAAGAAGAAGCAAAGTTTTAGTCTATGTATTGGGAATTTTCTTGCAGAATATTCTCTTGATTTTTTTCTCCTTAGGAAAAAAGGGAAGTAAAAGTTATCCTGAACCACAAGCTGGTTAACATTCAAATAGCAATCATATTTTGGCTTAAAATGTACCTTGAATCAAATATCATTTTCCTAGTCATATGTACAATTTGCTATATTAAAAGTTGTTTCCCTAAAGTAACATAAAGCATTTGACCCAGTGGTAATTATACTCCCCCTATTTTGTTTGTATATTTGGAAGAAATCAAACAGTGAGCAATGTGTTTCTCTTTCTGCTATGGCAACCTAGGGGGAGAGGGATAAGTGATGAGCTGATCCTCTTGATATTTTAGAGTTAGGGACATGAAGAGGTCAGGCCTCAGATTGGGCTGAGCTGACGCATGTGGGAAAGAACTGAAATAGGCTGTCTGAAAATAGCCATTCATAACTGCCATTCTGCAATAGAGAAGAACATTTTTGTGGCTCTTAATACGTTTTGTCAAGATACTTACTGAAAGGATTATACTAGTTCACAATGCCATGAGTAATTCATTCTCCTCCCCGCCCCCAGTATATGTACCTGATACTGTTCTAGGCTCCTGCCTTTCTGGGGCTTATAGTGTCTGTAGTGAGAGAAGGTAATAAATACATATATAATGTCAGGTAATGATAAATGTCATGAAGAAAAGTAAAACAGGGTAAGAAGAGAGAGAATGATGGCAGTGAGGGAGAGTTCTTTTAACTTAGGTGTTCAGAGAGTTCTCTTTAAGGAAGTGATGTTTAGACAGAAGTGCTCTTGAGTCTCAATCCAAGAAGAGGAAGTCAGCCTTATGAGTATCTGGGAAAAGAACATTCCAGGTAGAGGCAGGAAAAGGTGTGGTTGTTCAAGGAACAGCAAGATGACCAGTTTATAAGTGGAACAGAGTAAGCAAGGAAAAGTGGTAGGAAATGAAGTCAGAAAGAAAGCAGGAGCCAGATCATGTGGAGCCTCAAAGACTGAGGTGATGGGTGTGTTTTTAAAATGTCAGTAAGAAGCCATTGGAGATTTGGTGGATAGTTGGATGACCTGACTTACTGTTTTAGAAAGTTTGTCCTGGCTGCGGAGTGACTAGACCAAAGAAGGGCATAATAGAAGCAGGAGACTCATTTGGCACTTACCTCAGTAGTTCAGACAACAGAGTATGGTGATTTGGGCTGGGGTAATGATATCGGAGATGGGGAAAAGTGGCTGGATCTAGGATGAATTTGAAGGGATAGCCATTAGGAGTTACTGAGTAATTAGGATATGGGGGCAGGGAAAAAGTTAAAGAAGACTTCTCAGTATTTTGCTTGTGTAACTGGATAAATGGCTTGTTGTTTAATGAGAAGAAAAACTCTTAGGGAACTGTGGGATTTTGTGGCAAACTCAACAATCATTTTGAACATATTGAAGTGAACACACCTAAAAATGTCCAGGTTAGAGATATTGGCTAGGTAGTTTGATAAATGATTCTGGAGCTCAGAGGAAAGGTTGGAATTGGATATAGAAATTTTGGAGTCATTTCATATTAAATTATTTTAAAGCAGTGGTACTGCATGAGATTATATAGAACGTGAATGGATAGAGTATACATGAGGACCCAAGGTCTGAGCACAGGGATTCTCCGGCATCTGGGGAGGAGGAGAAGCAGCGAAGGAGACTCAAAGAATGACCAGAAAGGAAGGAAGTAGTGTTATCCTGATGATCTGGAAGCCAAGTGAAGAAAGTGTTTGAAGAAGAAGGGAATGATCAATTGTGTCACATGCCAATGAGAAGTAAGTAACTCTTAGACATGGAAGAGATTGCCCAGGTCTTACAGAGGCATCATTAAACATGTATTCAAATATTTACATCCTTATTTTCTGTTTCTCATTTTATATATCTCTTATGAGAACAGTTTTTTGTGAAGAGTTGTTTTTGTCTTACCCATGCCATAGTAGGTCTCATGGTTCCAAATGATAGAAACCCTATTTAAAACAGTTTAAGGCAAAAAGTGGAATGTATTGATTCACGCAACTGAAAAGTCTGGGATGCTCTAGCTTCAAATACATCTGGTTATGGGGGATCAAATGATGGTGTCAGGGATCTGTGTCCCTTTTTCCATCTCTTTGCCACAATATGGTAGCAAAATACCCTATATTGTGTTTATAATTCTTACCTCAGAAGGAGAGAAGGAGCTTTTCCCTTTTAGCACTAATATTTCAAATTCTGTGGAGGAGCTTTGGTTGACCCTGCTTGACCCACATGCTTAGATAAGCCAATGTGGAGAAAGAAGTGGGCCAAGTCTGGGTCATGGGTCCACTTCTGCTGACATGGCAACAATTGAGGCTCAAAGATTAACAGTCATACTGAACTACATGGATTGTGGGATGGATCATTTTGCTAAAAGGAAGGTCTGTAGAGCTGGCAATATATTCATTGTTTCTGGGATAAAATTGTTGTTAAATAGTATCTAGTATCCGCTGATGCTCTTCATGACCACAAATACAGGTGTGTTCTGACTTAAGCTCATTCAGTATAGGATAAAGAATTTGAAAGGTAATTTGATGTATATTTTTTGCCTCATCAAAGAATCTTTTAAAAAATATGTAAGCCATGATACTCATTACAGAAAAATTAGAGAATACAGATAAAGAAACTAGCCTAGAGATTATCAGCAGAATTTTGCCTAGGAAGACATCTGGTGTATATACAAATGTGTGTGTGTGTGTGTGTGTGTGTATAACAGAATGTGTGTAAATATTTTTAATAAAAATTAGGTCATACTGTTTTTTTTAGCTTAATCTCGATGATGAATGTCTTTTCTTGTCTTAATATCTCTGCAACATCATTTTAAATGACTGTTTTATGTTTTATGTTATGCGCTGTATGGACATTACACCAGTTTCCTAATATTGGCCATTAAGTTATTTCCACTTTTTTCTTTTTTTCTTTTTTTTAGCTTTTTGTTTATTTTTGCTTACTCATTGGATTTTTCCCATAAAGCAAAGTCTTATGAAATTACTAGCCCACAGGGTGTGTGCTTTTGTTTCATGTTACTAAATTGTGTTTCAGAAAGGTTGCACTTTTTTATATATTCATCAGTAATGTATGAAAGTGCCATTTCCCTTTATTTTCTTTTTAGTCTTTGCCAGTGTAATCAACAAAAAAAATGGTATGTAGTTTATTCATTTCTCCGTTGCTAGTTAGGTCAAACTGGTGTTCTGTATGTTCATTGGTCACTTGCATCTCTCTTTTGTGAATTGTCTGTGTCAGTGTTGACGAGTTAAAAGCCATTACCATTTGAATAACAACCCACACTTGGGTATTGCTTTTGTCATTAACAATCATATTCATGTAATTATTTAATTTGATCTAAGGAGCTCTCTGAGTTTGTCATGCACATATGTATTGTTGTCTCCATTTTGCAGTGACTGTCCCAAGATCACCTTGCTTGTGAATGGCAGAGCTGAACTCAGAGTACAGATCATCTCACTCTGAATCTTCTTTTCTTTCAGTTTTGTCAATCTAAAATGTTAAATGTCAGTGAAATTATAAGGTTATTAATGGGAAATATGGTTTGAACCCTAAAAATTGGGCTTGGATATTTTTTATTCTACAGACATTTAGTGACTGTTTACAGTATGTCACACAATAGTTGAATCTCCAGATAGAAAACTTTTCTCAGGACCTTATTAGGTGAAAAATTCTATATAAAATGAATTCACCTTTTACTTTTGCTCTGTGAACCATTATTATTATTATATCCTTCTTAAATAGAATAAGGAAAGAAAAGCTATTTTTTCCTCTCCCAGCCAACTTTTTCTACTCTCAATCTTTTCTTTGAATCTTTATAGTGTTTATGAAAGCAGAGATTAATAAACTTTTGAAATTTTAATTAAATTAATTTTAGTAGTATTTATATAAACTCTAAATACAAATACCTCCCCTCCATCTATTAGACCAAAATTAGCACACAGTATTGACTCACAACTGACCTTTATCTTTTTAGAGTTTAATTTGTTGGTTATTAAGATGCAGATATACTGCTACTTAAAAAGTTTCCAAATTCATTCTCTGCTCCACTCTGCAGAAGTTGGCCATTAAGAGCAGGTGTTTAAACATAACAGTAACCCAGTAACTGTGAACTCTCCACTGTGAATATGTGGTTTCAGTTGAGGTTTTTGCCGTTATCTTTGTATAATAACAAAAAGGTGTAAACTGATGCTTTTGAAATTATTATAATGCATGGATTAAACAACCGCATTGTATTAAGCATAGAATATTAAAGGCTGTCTTTGCTTTCTTTGCTTTCTTTTTACGGTAGAACACCAATGAAAGTTTGTCTTCTATTTATAGGAGAAAAGTGTTTTTTGTTTTGTTTTGAGGCATGTTAGTGATGCCACAGTAAACTCTTGGCATTTACAAATTGAACACTTAACATTAATATTTGTGAGCAATTCTGGAGATCCAAGTGGTGGTAATTTGTTGCAAATTTTGTTGCAAAGGATTTACTTCTGACAGCATAATTATAAGAAACTAGATAGAATTAAGTATCTGCACCATTATCTACACAGAATTGAGAAAGTGCGTTTTAGATGCCTTTACTCAGCTGCTGTCATAAAAATTTAGTATTAGATCCTAGAGATAGGTTTGCATCAGAATTATTTTTCCATGATGTAAATGATATGTAGAAATATTTCTGGTAACATATGTCTTGACAAAAAGAAACAGCTATTAGTAGTGCATTCGAATTACTAAATAATGAAATAATTAGCTATTACATTATGAAATTATAAAGTATCAGATGAGTGTGCATGAAGAATATACAATGCTAATGCAGTGGGTAGTTTAAAAATAACATTAAGTGCACAGATATGAAGTTATAAAGCTTAGTGTGCTTTAAAATCTTTTTGATGTGCTAGTACTTTGAGAGGATGTTTGAGGTACCAAGTTAGCATTGATATTTGAAGATTACAAATCTATAAGGATTAAAACAATAACATAATAGTAATCGTAGAATCATTTATTGGAATCTTGCTTTATGTCAAGTTTTCAAAAATGGAGAGTTTTTTTCCTCCTGGCTCTATAATAAATTTTTAAAATTCTGATGATACTACCATAGTTAGCTCTATGATTCCAAGAAGTCCAGTGGCTATCACATTAAATGAAATAAATTGCCTAAATAAATAAACACACTTGCTATAGATAGTCCCTTGGGTATCATATTAATAGTAATGAAGGTTAACATGATTGAGCACTTTGTGCCATACACTATGCTAGATGCTTCACATGAACTATCTTAATCTTCCTAATAACCTAAACTGATAAGCACTTCTAGCACCCTTCAGTTTATAGTTGAGGAAACTGAGGTGTAGAGAGCTTGTGTGACTTGACCACAACCACACACATAGTAGTCTTGATGGGCCAGAGTATGAGCCCAAGCAGTTGGATTTGAGACCAGTAGACCTCACCTCTGCGGTGTGGTATTAATGGTCTTTATCTGATCTATTACATATCATAATGTTGAAAAGCATTATAGGCAGTGATTATGAACAATAAAAATTAAGGGCAGCATTAATTTTTTTCAGACAACATTTTCTTTTTAACTCTACTCCTATTGATGACATAATTAATTCATTTTTATGTGGCTATCTGTAGTATTTGATGCAGTTCTTCAGTAGAAAGTATAAAATAGCTTATTAAATGATCATGTAATACTTAAGATCCTATTTTTAATTTTTAAAACTATTTTATTCAGGTTGGTTTGACTTCTACAAATGCAGAACTGAGAGGATTTATTGATCAGAATCTCAGTCCAACAAAAGGTAAGGACAGATGAATAGAAATTTTCTGCATTGAGCTAGTTTTATTGCATTTGTTTTATAAAATATGCAGCTACATGTATTACTTTAATAATTATATAATATGACTGTGTTGTGTTATCATATACCAAATAACTTGTATCATATGAAAGTAGTTCTGAGAGGTGGGGGGAGAGAGAGAGAATGAGGGGAGAGAGAGTGTGTGGGGTATTTTTTTTTTAAGATTTTATTTATTTATTTATTTGAGAGAGAGAGAGAGCGAGCATGAGCAGGGGGCGGGGCAGAGGGAGAGGAAGAAGCAGGCTCCCTGCTGAGCAAGGAGCCCGATGTGGGGCTCGATCCCAGGACCCTGAGATCATGACCTGAGCTGAAGGCAGACACTTAAGCAACTGAGCCACCCAGGCACCCCTGAGAGTGTATGTGGTATTTGTGTTACTTTTCTCCATCTCTTTCCTAAGAGGTCTCTAAGACCACCTGTTGTTGTTATTGTTGTTTTTTAGAGAGAGAGCCCATGTGAGAGAGAGGGAGGGGTGGGAGGGCAGAGGGAGGGCGAGAGAGAATCCCAAGCAGGCTCCATGCCCAGCACAGAACCCTACGTGGGGCTTGATCTCACAGTCCTGAGATCATAACCTGACCCTAAATCAAGAGTTGGATGCTTAGACGACAGAGCCACCCAGGCGCCCCTAACACCACCTTTGATTAATGATCCTGTTACAATTGAAACTAACTGTTCAAGTCACTTTTTTCTTGATTTTCTTGCTTGATAGCCTTACTTCTAGTGGTTTAACTTGTAAGGAGGTAGAGTAGAATGCATGAATATATGTAAAATTCCTGTATCTAATATATGGTTTACTGAAGAAATGCTTATATCAGAAATCTGACCTACCAGTACAAGAATTGATGCAGGACTTTGTCTGTATCTTGCTGTATGTATCTTTCAACAGTATCTTATAGTATGTAGAGATAACATACTGAAATATTTATGGTTGAAATGATAAGATGTTTGGGATTGGCTTCAAAATAATCCATTGGGGGAAGAAGAGTAAAGTGGGTGGAATTATAGATAAAACTATCTGTAAGTTGATTAAATTCTTTATGCTGGGTGATAGCTGTATGGGGTTTCATTATTCCTTTCTCTCCTCCCTTGTATACGTTTGAAACTTTTCATTATTAAAGGTAGGAACAAAATATATGTCATTATAATACAGATAGCTATGAGAGAAACATATACCCTCAAAGGGTATATGCCCTGGAGAGAAGGCTAGAGAAGTCTGTATTTCAGTATAAAAAAAGTCTAGCTTAATAATAAAGCCTGTAGAGTTATTGAGAATTTAAATACGTGTTATGAAACAGTAAAAGACATACTACAAGCCTTAATGCTTCTCATTTTTTCCCCAATTTTTTCATTGTAGTAAAATACACAACATAAAATTGACAGCTTTAGTCATTTTTAAGTGTACAGTTCAGTGGTATTAGGTACATTCGTGTTGTGTAGCCATTACCACCATCCATATCCATAACTTTTTATCTTGCAAAACTCAGATTTTGTGCTCCTTAAACAATAACTCCCCATTCTCCCCTCCCCTAGTCTCTGGCAACCACCATTCTACTTTCTGTCTCTATGATTTTGACTACTCTAGGTACCTCATGTAAGTGAAATCCTAATCGTAATTGTTTTTTTGTGACTGGCATATTTCATTTAGCATAATGTCCTGAAGATTCATCCATGTTGTCATATATGTCAGAATTTCCTTTCTTTTAAGGTTGAATACTACCATTATGTATATATACCACTTTTGCTTATCATTCATCCATCAGTGGACACATGGGTTGCTTCCATGTTTTAGCTATTGTGAATAGTGCTTCTATGAATATGGGAGCACAAATATCTCTTTGGGACCTTCTTTGGGTGTATACCTAGAAGTGGAATTTCTGGGTCATATGATAATTCTATTTTAATTTTTCAGAGGAATTGCCATTCTGATTTCCAGCAGCTGTACCATTTTACATTCCCACGAATAGTGCACAAGGGTTCCAATTTCTTCACATCCTTGCCAGTACTTATTTTTGTTTTTTGTTTTATTATAGCCATCCTAGCAAATGTAAAGTGATATCTTACTGTAATTTTGATTTGTATTTCCCTAATGACTAGTAATGTTGAGCATTTTTTTATGTGCTTAGTGGCCATTTGTATATCTTTGAAAGGTCTGCTCAAGTCCTATGCCCATTTTGAATTGGATTAATTATTTTTGGAGTTGAGTTTTAGGAATTGTTACGTATACTGAATATTAATCCCTTATAAGATAAATGATTTGCAGATATTTTCTTCTGTTCAGTAGGTTGTCTTTTCACTGTCTTTATAGTTTCCTTGGATGTGCAGAAGTTCTTTATTTTGCTAAAGTTCAATTTGTCTATTCTTTCGTTGCTTTTGCTTTTCGTGTCATACCTGTGACATGGTTGCCAAATTTAGCGTCCTGAAGATTTTCCCCAAAGCTTTCTTCTAAGAATTTTATAGTTTTAGTTCTTTAGTTTAGGTCTTTGATCCATTTTGAGTAAATTTTTGTATATGATTTAAGAGTCAAACTGGAATAAGGATATCCAGTTTTTCCATTACCATTTATTGAAAGACTGTCCTTTGACCATTGAATGGTCTTGGCACTCTTGTCAAAAATCAATTGACCATGTATGTAAAGGTTTATTTCTGGGCTTTTTATTCTGTTCCCTTGGTCTGTATGTCCGTATGTCAGTACCATAATGTTTTAATTACTGTAGTTTTGTAGTAAGTTTCAAAGTTGAGAATTGTGACCCCTTTAACTTTATTCTTTTTCAGGATTGTTCTGGCTATTTAGGATTCCTTGCAATTCCACATGAATTTGAGGATCAGCTTTTCCATTTCTTTGAAAAAGGCTGTTAGAGTTTTGATAGACATTGCATTGAATCTGTAAATCACTTTGGTTTTATTGACATCTTAACAATGTGAAGTCTTCTTATTCATGAACATATTTCATAGATTTAGGTCTTCTTTGATTATACTATTTCTTTTTGAAGTAATAGTGGTAATGGTTAAATAATTTTGTGAACATACTGGAAACCACTGAATTGTACACTTTAAAAGGTGAATTTTTGGTATGTGAATTATATCTTTATTTAAAAAAAACAAAACCAACAACCACTTTCTTTAACTTGATATCTACTTCCAGCTCTGATTTGATCTTCCCCTCATTGTCAGACTTCTTGGAAGAAACCATATACTTATAATCCCATTCTCAGCTCTAGTTCACTCTTCTGCCTCATGAAATCTGTCTTTGACTCCATTAGTTCATTGAAACTGCTCTTGGTTGTCTTTTTTTCTTTTTTATCAACATTTGATACAGTTAATTTCCCTCTTTGTTTTGTTTATTTTATTTATTTATTTTTTAAAGATTTATTTATTTTTTAAAGATTTATTTATTTGAGAGTGAGAAAGAGCAGAAGAGCAGGGTGAGGGGCAGAGGGAGAAGCAGACTCCCCACTGAGCAGGGAGTCCCACGCGGGGCTTAATCCTGGGACTCCGAGATCATGACCTGAGCTGAAGGCAGACGTTTAACTGAGCCACCCAGGCTTCCCCCATCCTTTTTTGGTTTGTTTGTTTGTTTTTTAAAGATTTATTTATTTGACAGAGAGAGCACAAGCAGAGGGAGCAGCAGCAGAGTGAGAGCAAGAAGCAGGCTCTCTGCTGAGCAGGGAGCCCAATGCGGGGCTCGATCCCAGGACCCTGGGATCATGACCTGAGCCGAAGGCAGACGCTTAACCGACTGAGCCACCCAGGCGTCCCTCCTCCTTTGTTTTTTTAAATAACATTTTAATTTTAGAATAGTTTTAGATTTGCAGAGAAATTACAAAGATAGTACAGAGAGTTCTCATAAACTCCTTAATCAGTTTTCCCTACTGTTAACATCCTACATTGGTCTTTAACATATGTTGATTAACGGAAGTCCATACTTCTTCATATTTCCTTAGTTTTTAGCTAATGTTCTTTTTCTGTTCCAGGAGAGCTATCAGGATACCATGTTACATTTCATGACCGTCATCCGTAGCCTCTTTTTGGCTGTGATGGTATCTCAGACTTTCCATGTTTTTAATAAGTTTTGAGGTGTAATTTTCAGGTATTTTGTAGAATGTCCCTTAATTGGGATTTTTCTGATGCGTTTCTCATGATTAGATCAGGGTTACTGAGTTTTTGAGAAAAAAACCACAGAGATAAAGTACCATTTTCATCACAGTGTATCAAAGGCCCATACTATCAACATGACTTATCACTGTTGATGTGAACCTTGATCACTTAGCTGAGGTAGTGTTTGTCATATTTCTGTACTATGAAGTGATTCTTTACCCTCCCCCCCTTTCCATACTGTAGTCTTTGAAAGGAAGTCAGTGGAGTGGTTGCTCTACCTACATCATTTATTTGGAATTCTTTTGCACCCTAGATTTGTCTCTTCTCTTATTTATTTATTATTTAATGCTTTATTTATATTAGTATGGACTCATGATATTTAGTTTACACTCTGGGTTATATAGTCCATTACTACTTAATTTTTTGCTTAAGTTACAACTGTAGCCATTGGGAACTTTCAGTTGGTTTTCTGTGTGCCTTTGACATTATGTCCCTTATTGTGAGTTTGGTTTTTTTCTTTTTTTGTTTGTTTTTGTTCTGAGCACTTATTTTTTTTTAGCACTACAAGATGCTCCAGGCTCATTTTATATCTTTCCTGCCCACTCTTCAGATCAGTCATTTTTCCAAAGAGTCCTGATTCTTTTTAACGGAGAATGTTATCAGAAACCAAGATCTTGGTGCTGCTGGGTAAGCTCATTGCTACTGGGAGGGTGTCTTTCTTTTTGAATCACTGTTTTTTTGTGTGTCTGTAATACCATACTTTTTAAGACTTTCATAGAAAGCAGTACAATGTAACAGTTAAGAACAAGGCCTCTAGAGGACTTGGTGTGATCTTGGTTGCACTTCTTAC